TTACTAAAAAATTTGTACCTATTAAAATTAAACAGTTTATTTTAAATATAACATAATAAAGTTCTTAAATAAAACTTTTTGTTGTGAAAAAGTACTTTAAAATTACCTTCAAAATTTTTTTTCTTTGCCATTTCAAAAAGTCGCTACTAAACTAGAGATTATTTTCAAAGACAGTTTTTTTTACACTCGAGAGAACAATTTACGTTTTCGAAAAGTACTTTAAACCATATTCTCCTATGAGTTATTTTGCTTTGATTATTTTGACAACCCCATAGCTCTCATAGGACAAAATTCGTTTGATTGGCTGATATAGATCAATTGCCCTTATTTATATGCTTTAGAGTACTTTTTCAGAACTCAAGTGTTATATACTAAAAAACAAAAAATTTTGCATGATGTTACATTAACAAAAATTCACTGAAACATCATTAGTAGCTTTAGAAGAACGTTATCCATAGTGCAAAAAAAATCCTAAAACTGACGAACTTTATTTAGAAGACAAAGTATTCTACCGTTTATTGGACGATACCAAATTATACTGTAGAATAAGGTAACCAGCATTTCTATTTAAAACTACCTAAGTGAATTAGATTTAAATAAACTTTTTTATCGCCAACTATTTAATTTAAATAGGAATAATCGGGAGACATGCAAAATCCTGATGTTCACAATCTGATGGTACATAATCCCAGCAGACAAAATCCCCAAATACTAAAATCTTAAAATGCTAAAATCCCCAAAATACAAAATCCCGACGGTTCAAAATCTCGAAAGTACAAAGTTCTGGTAATTAAGCATTATAAATTATAAATTTTAAATGCAAAAATGCAAAATATTAGGATTAGTAGTCAGGACTTTGTGGTTTTCAAGACTGGATTTTGTATTTTCAGTATTTTAATATTTCAAGATTTTAGTATTTCGGGAATTTGTCTGTCAGAATTATATATCATCAGAATTGTATGCATCAGAATTTCATACTAAACCCGGAATAATATTATAGTAGAAAGAGATCTGAGTTTAATGGGGTTTGCCAATCGTAATGAGCGTTGGGTTATAGATTGTATACTTTATTAATAAGTTTGAGTTTAATCACAATAACCACTTTTACAAGTATTTAGCTATTCTTTAAATATATGATTCTTTCATATATTTAATAATTGATTTTTTCATATGAAATTTTTTTGTTTCTTAGCTGTTAGTATATAGTAGAATCTTTTAAAATTATGTGATTATGTGTAGATCCATAAAAAATTGACCAATCAGACGAATTTCTTACTATGAACGAAACGACTACTGATCGGTTTGTAAACGCGCAGAATTTACGCTCATGGTATAATATTTATATGATTGGATATGATTGGTTAATTCATGTCAATAAAACGTGATCATTGGCCAATCAAATCAATAGATCAAGTGAGTATCATGAAAAAATTCAATAATAATTATAAAAAACTGCAAAAACTAATTGACTGTTTTTTCGTGCATTGTAGGGCGAAATTTTTCCAAATATAATTACGGGCTATAGAAGTTTCGTACTGTATTTACTTAATAAATGTACTGTACTGTACTTAAATTTAGGTGTACTATATTATATATCCGTACAGTACACCGTTTTATTATATAACATATAAATTAGTACTGTACTGTATTGAATAAAAAAATTATAAATGACAGAACAGTACAGTACATTAAACTTTTCAATATCGTTACCGAAAGCAGTTTAAAATTACTAAGCGCTGCCAAGGAAAACCTGTCACCGGGATTTCAAGTTTATTGTTTACCAGACTCAATATACCTAATTTGTTAGGGATTGCATCTGGTAAATTATAAATTCGAAACCCCGGTGACAGGTTTTCTCTTGACGGCACCTATATATATATTTAATATTACGTAGATAGAACGATAAATAGAACGATAAATAGAACGATAAATAGAATGACAAATGGAACGATAAATAGGATGATAAATTGAACGATAAATTGAACGATAAATTGAACGATAAATAGGATGATAAATTGAACGATAAATTGAATAATAAACTGAACGATAAATTAGTAAACCAAGAAGTTTCGCTTTAAATATGTAATCAATTTAGACACGCCTTACATTTGTATTTGATTTATTAGTATTAGCAAAATAAATATATATTGATATAATTATTGTGCAATTACATTCACGAATATATATTATATATCAATATAACAATTTATGAATTACATATTTAATAAAAAAAATTCAACTGTTTAAAAGTTTTTGAAGTTTTTCCCGTAACATAATCTCTTTTTCCAACTTATTATTTTTGTTTTTCTGTATAGCAAGCTTTTCCTGCTCAATCCTTAAAAGTCTTTCTTGTTCTTCAATGTTAATAGATTCATTTGTAACTCGAGCTTTTTTAGGAGATTTTTGATGAACTGAAGTTTTATTAGAACGTTTACCTTTGCCTTTAAGTTTATTAATTAGTTATTAATTAGTATATAAATTATATATTTAATTACAAAATATAGTATATTATGATATATATGTATAACTTACGGGTTTTTTTAACTGCTTCAGTAGTTCTTTGTAAAGATGATTTGTTTCGATAAGATTCTGGTACATTTGTCTTTTCATATGTAAAAGCCGAACTCCATTGATGTTTATCGAATTCCTTGGCTCTATTTTTATTTTATTAATTATAAAATTAAAATTTTGTAAAATTTATAAGTTGATATACGTGTGTGTGTGAATATTACACAAATTATATACATAGTAAGTATTATAAATTTAATATACAGTACATACTTATTAATAGCAGCCAATAAAGATAAATTATGTCCATTTCTGTTGATATTTGTATGAGCTGATTCTCCAGCATTCGTTGTAAATGGTGTACTAGTCCAAATTGTTTGCTCCATTTTAGTAAAAGCAGGAGACAAGCCAGCAAGTATCCATGGTTGTTTTTTATCTTGTACCCAATCTAAAAATAAAATAATTATTAAATTTATATATCTAATTTAATTATATATAGTTATGTAATACGTACTAGCTATACCAGGTATTTCACAATGTTCGAGAAATTCAAGAGTATTCATAACTTCATATGCTGTTTTATTTTCAATCAATGAATACATTTTTTTTTAATTTCCTTATTTATTCCTCTCTTGTTGCGAATATTTCTATAATTTAAATAAATTAAATACTATAAATATATATACATATATTTAATAATTTATTGCAAATATATATAATTTACCTTTTAAAATGTATTGTACATAATTTATAAATTCGTTCTAAATGTTCAGTAGCGTTAAAAATTGGAAATCTTTCAGCTAAATATTGACCCAAACCTAAAACATTAATTAATAAAATATATATGTGATTATTAATTATAATAATAAAAAACAGTTAGTATAAAATTTACCTAATGCTTGACCATAATGCTCATCAGCTAAAATGTATTCAATTTCACGACTATGGATATGTTGAAACTCAACAGAATGTCCACAATCTTGTTCCACACAGGTAAAAAGTTCCTCGAATAGTTTTTTGTATGTATTTGCTGTTTGAAGGATTGTAAAAGCATGTGCAAATACTAGGGATATTTAAACATAATTAATATTTAATATATATATATATATTTATTTATATGTATACAATATATTATATTTAAAATTTTCTTACTTTTTCGATATTTTTCTATATATGCGCATACTTCCTATTCATTAATTAGCCCATGTACATGTTTAAAACTCATATCTATTTCAAAATACAAAGAATTTGCCAAATATTTCATTTGACTTTTATAATCACATAATATTAAGTATTGACTATTGTCAAAAAAGCCTAAAAATAAAATAAATATATATAAATTAATAAATATATATATAATATACAATTATTTAAATATATATTTTATATTTACAGATAGTTCTAATATAAAGATCATCATCATTATCTTGTTTTTGTTTCAAAAGTATATGCGCAACACCCATAATATCTTGACCATATGGATGTTCAGCATGACGTTTTGTTGCAATCATATGCTCAATTTTTGATCTATTATTTAATGATGGATGTAGTTCTGAAAGTGGAACTCCTTTAAGAAATCGTTGCATCGATGTACCTAATAAATTTAAATTAATATTAAAACCTACATAATATTAGATAATAAAAATATATACGAGTAATTAATTTCCTAGCAGTTAAATCTAAAATATCCTCTTCTGCAATTATATCTTTTAAATCATTTTGGATTGCTACAGGTATTTTAGATGGTAGTGGTGGTGGATGGTTATGAATATTTCATGACATAATCACAATATATGGACAATTTTCAAGATCTTTGGGTACATAATGCCAAAATTTAACAGGACATTTTGATTTTGTTTGAATTAATCCTTGAGCAACTTCACTGTTTTCTGTAGTATGAATATAAGCTATGCAAATATAAATTAGTTAATATTTAAAAAATAATATATATTAAATTATTAAATTAATAGATAATAAAAATATATACAGCATTTTTTTGCTTTTGCACTATAAGGAAGTATCATATAACAATGTCGAATTGAATCTGAAATCTAAATATATATTAATGTTAGTATTTAAATTTTTTTAATTATTAAATAATTAATTTAATTAATTTAAAATAAATACTTCTTCAGTAATTCCATTATTATAATATATATGCTCACGAAAAAGTTTTTTTAAATACTCAATATTAATGCGTCCAGATAAACTTTGGTATCGATGACCACGTTCACTATTTTTAAAATTCTCACAACCAATAAAGTAAGTAGGTACAGAAGTATCATCCTCTCACTAAGTATTAATATAATTAAATTATATACAGTATATATTTTATTTTATAAAAACCTGATAATGCGTATTAAGTTTAGGTTTGCCATTACATTGAATACCAGTTTGAGGAAACAAACCTACATAGTACTTTATGTGCTGTAGCAAATGCACTATTATAAAAAATGTTAGTATTGAATATATATTATAAAAAATATAAATATATAAATATAATTATACTTTAAAGTATTCGTATCCAAAGATGATTCATTTGCTTCAAATATTTTTTTAAACAAATTATCATCAAAGTTTACTGATATATGTGTCATTGTGGTTAATTCAGGTGCTGCAAATTGACATATTTTAACACCACGGCATGTTCTTGTTTCTTTGTAAACTTTTGTATTTAAGAAAGGACAAAAAACACTTTCATGAGTAGTTCCATCTTTATATGAATACTGAATATTCTTAAGATCAAAAATCTCAAGAGCTTTTTCAGTATCCATACTGGCTACATTATATACACAAGCAACTCCATCCTCGGAAGTCTCTAGATATTCTTCAAATTCAAGTCGATATTTAATTTTAGATACAATTTCCACATTCGCTCTACCTAATTTAACCAATCTTGTTCCACACAGGTAAAAAGTTCCTCGAATAGTTTTTTGTATGTATTTGCTGTTTGAAGGATTGTAAAAGCATGTGCAAATACTAGGGATATTTAAACATAATTAATATTTAATATATATATATATATTTATTTATATGTATACAATATATTATATTTAAAATTTTCTTACTTTTTCGATATTTTTCTATATATGCGCATACTTCCTATTCATTAATTAGCCCATGTACATGTTTAAAACTCATATCTATTTCAAAATACAAAGAATTTGCCAAATATTTCATTTGACTTTTATAATCACATAATATTAAGTATTGACTATTGTCAAAAAAGCCTAAAAATAAAATAAATATATATAAATTAATAAATATATATATAATATACAATTATTTAAATATATATTTTATATTTACAGATAGTTCTAATATAAAGATCATCATCATTATCTTGTTTTTGTTTCAAAAGTATATGCGCAACACCCATAATATCTTGACCATATGGATGTTCAGCATGACGTTTTGTTGCAATCATATGCTCAATTTTTGATCTATTATTTAATGATGGATGTAGTTCTGAAAGTGGAACTCCTTTAAGAAATCGTTGCATCGATGTACCTAATAAATTTAAATTAATATTAAAACCTACATAATATTAGATAATAAAAATATATACGAGTAATTAATTTCCTAGCAGTTAAATCTAAAATATCCTCTTCTGCAATTATATCTTTTAAATCATTTTGGATTGCTACAGGTATTTTAGATGGTAGTGGTGGTGGATGGTTATGAATATTTCATGACATAATCACAATATATGGACAATTTTCAAGATCTTTGGGTACATAATGCCAAAATTTAACAGGACATTTTGATTTTGTTTGAATTAATCCTTGAGCAACTTCACTGTTTTCTGTAGTATGAATATAAGCTATGCAAATATAAATTAGTTAATATTTAAAAAATAATATATATTAAATTATTAAATTAATAGATAATAAAAATATATACAGCATTTTTTTGCTTTTGCACTATAAGGAAGTATCATATAACAATGTCGAATTGAATCTGAAATCTAAATATATATTAATGTTAGTATTTAAATTTTTTTAATTATTAAATAATTAATTTAATTAATTTAAAATAAATACTTCTTCAGTAATTCCATTATTATAATATATATGCTCACGAAAAAGTTTTTTTAAATACTCAATATTAATGCGTCCAGATAAACTTTGGTATCGATGACCACGTTCACTATTTTTAAAATTCTCACAACCAATAAAGTAAGTAGGTACAGAAGTATCATCCTCTCACTAAGTATTAATATAATTAAATTATATACAGTATATATTTTATTTTATAAAAACCTGATAATGCGTATTAAGTTTAGGTTTGCCATTACATTGAATACCAGTTTGAGGAAACAAACCTACATAGTACTTTATGTGCTGTAGCAAATGCACTATTATAAAAAATGTTAGTATTGAATATATATTATAAAAAATATAAATATATAAATATAATTATACTTTAAAGTATTCGTATCCAAAGATGATTCATTTGCTTCAAATATTTTTTTAAACAAATTATCATCAAAGTTTACTGATATATGTGTCATTGTGGTTAATTCAGGTGCTGCAAATTGACATATTTTAACACCACGGCATGTTCTTGTTTCTTTGTAAACTTTTGTATTTAAGAAAGGACAAAAAACACTTTCATGAGTAGTTCCATCTTTATATGAATACTGAATATTCTTAAGATCAAAAATCTCAAGAGCTTTTTCAGTATCCATACTGGCTACATTATATACACAAGCAACTCCATCCTCGGAAGTCTCTAGATATTCTTCAAATTCAAGTCGATATTTAATTTTAGATACAATTTCCACATTCGCTCTACCTAATTTAACCAATCGGGGCTACACAAATTTAAAATTTAAAATTTAATATATATTTTATAATTAAAATTCTACTTTTATATTATGTTTATTATATATACCTCATCAATTTCTTCAATCTCTTCTGTAATTTCATCAACATTTAATACTATTGGTTGTTCGTTAAACTTCCACTATATTTAATATAATGTATTTAACATTTTAAAAAAAAATTTTTTTTTTATTTATATTTTTTAAATTTTAAATTTATACTGTCAATAGATATTCTGGATCCTGAATACTTTCATTCGAAGATTCAGAATCCTATTTATCATCAGAATTTTGTTTATTATTAGGACCCTGTTCATTCTCGAAATTATAAACATCTTGACTTGTTTCGAACAGGTCCCATTCATCATCAGAACTAATAGCAGTAGGTTGACTTGTACTAATTTGGTATTCCATTTAGTAATATTTGTTCATATGTACAAATGAGGAAGAATGGTATTACTAATCAAATGTTTTTAACTATAAATTTGTATAAAAATTACATAATAATACTGTAGTTTAAATTATTTGTATAACATTGTAATATCATAAGCGAATCTAGTATTTACAATATCTAGCATTTACATATGTACTGTATCGATATCTTTACTTCATATTCTATACAATCCAGTACTAAAGGCTCTAATCGTTTATTGCATTACTATAAGTGGTGTACTGTATAGTACCATTTGAAATTCGATACAATACAATACTAAGTATACACTATATAGGAATTTTTGTACTGTATCGTATCATTTTAAAATTTTATATAATACAGTACTAAATTATCCTCAGTACAATACACTATGTATATAAATTCATATAATTAGTACTTGACAAAAATAGCAAGATAGAAATTTATTTTGATTGGTTGTTTATTTCTATTAAAAAAACAATGTTACACAATTTTTTTATATTGTTTACAATAGAAAAATGAACCCGTAAA